AAGCTTCATAAGATTAGGTTAACAACTCTTAATGCCTTTTTGGTGATGCTGTTACAGTGATGATGATGATGTTTACTTAACCATTTTAACATACCTCCGTTATATCATTGATCCTTTCCCTACATTTCCCTGTTTCTAACTCCTGTTTTGTCAGCTAACCATTGATAAAATAAGTCCCAGGTCAAGAAGTAATTCAGTTCCTTTCTTTTCCTGAACTGTAAGTGTTAGCTAACCATGTCTGCACATTCTAATATTTTTTTTAATCACAGTCTCATCTGTTGGGATCTCTCCACTGTTGTGCAAATACAATTCTACCTGTAGTCAGTACATGTAATATCAGATATGCATTCCCCTTATTGTACTTATCCAGGAATATGCCCAACAAGAATATACTTCTTGATCGGATTTCCCAGGCCAAGCAGCTTTGAATCAAGGCCCCAAAGTCTGGCCCAATATCAAACTCCTGAGGAGGCTGCAATTTGTGGGGAAAACATTCTCCTATTGCCACGTCCCAGAGGTAAAGAGGGGAGGAAAGACCATTTCTGTTTGCCTTTAGCAATTTTATTTGAAACTAGCCAATAACCCAGCTTTGCCCAGGTATTTATTTATAGGGGAAAAATGTCCGGACCAAATGTAATTTCTAATGTTGGATTTTCCCCCTTACCAGAGGGAGTACTTGAAGCCATTACCATGGCAACGCCACTGCGCTACAGTAGAAGCTAGTAAGCAGTATGGCACATGTGATTCTGGGCAGCTGACCAGAGAGTGAGGGGTTTTTATACCTTCTTTGAGCTTTGCACTTGTCTTCCTATTCCTGTGCAAAAACATGTATTCTATTGGCTGTTGTCAGACTCCTAAGGGGTCATGTAGGGGTCATAGCTGGCTCTATGAAGAAGAAGAAGAAATACAAATCGTAGGTGTTTGAGCTAAGTTTGGTTGAAGTTTGGACTGCTTTGAGGGTGATGCAATAATTCCTATTGTGGCTTAATGGCTCGTGAGTGAGAGTATTTACTTAAGAATAGAGCTATCTAGATACCTGTCTCCTTTCAATAAGCTCTTTACCTCTTAAGTGCTGACATCTGCTGCGGCCTATTAAAAAATGTGGGGGCTGCTTTCTGCCTCTAAAAACATGTTTCTCCAGTTCTCATTTAAGGAAATATAATATTTTGCCTTTTTAATAGTTCCCCAAACATTTCATTCTTCTGTAAGGGGGTGGCTTCCTACAGCACTGAACAGTAAGACAAGAGCAAGGTGGGATCACTCCTGTTAAATCAACTCTATGCAATTTCAAAGTAGCTCCTGGCTTCATAAGATAAAGATAGAAGTCATTAGATCACAATACCAGGCTGACCAGGACATTCGACACAGATAATTTAGTGTGCAAGGAGGAGATGGCTTGAGATGACGCCATCAGAGTCAGGAATCTGCTTTGCTCCAATTGGTCCAGCAAGTCTGTTGTGGAATCAGCCACTTTTGTCTGGGTTTTAGGGAGTTTAGGATGCTATTCCTGGAATACATATGCAATACGCCATAACATATTGTCTATGATGATTGATGTTGGCTTTTTCTGTAGTTAGACTATGGGAAGAAATGTCCATCTGGGTTCGGTTCCAAGTGGGAAGAAAGACACTGGAAATATGGAGACTGCTTGGAAAGATGGTTTAATGATGAACAGGGTCACATGGTTTGAAGTCCTGGGCAAAAAAGGCACATGGGTGAGAGAGAGGTTTATACCCTCTGTTGGGCTTTGAATTTGAGCTTGTATTCTGATTGGTTGTCAGACTCCCATGAGGCCATGCAGGGGCAACTCTGTAGGCTGTCCTGAATCCCAAACTTGATTGACTCTTGCTGGGTGATGATGTAATAAAAGGGCTTTGGGATTCCTATTATGGCTCTGCCTGAAGGAGGTGGATCTTTGTTATGTAGAATAGAGTGGCTCAGGTCTTAATGGCTCATTGACAAAAGTGGGAGGGACTGAGTTTCTGCCTCCCTTTTAGGGGAAAAAGTCTGCCCTTTTAATATTTCCTAAAATATTTCATTTTTCTAGGAACCCGACAAATGCGCGCACGACAAAACCGCGCCGACAAAACCGCGGTGAGAAAACCGCAAAATCATAAACGCTCCCACAACAACGCACCGACAAAACTGCGCCTACAAAAGCGCGATTTAAGTTAAGGTAAGGGTTAGGGTTAGGTTCAGGGTTAGGGTTAGGATTAGGGTTAGGGTTATTAGGTTGTTATTAGTTGTTTGTTGAAGGTGCGCTTTTGTCGGCGCGCTGTTGTCGGCGTGCTTCTGCGCTCATTCGTCGGCGCAATTTTGACCTTGCGGTTTTCTCGCTGCGGTTTCATCGGTGCACTTTTGTCAAGTGCGCATTTGTTGGTGAACCCCTACAAGACAGTGGTGTGTTCCTACTGGTTCGGCCCAGTTCAGCAGAACCTTCAGCAAACCAGCTGGCGACACCTCCAAACCTGTTCCCCGGTCATCGCAGTCGCCACCGCCATCTTGTTCTTGAGTTTTGCGCATGCGCAGAACAATTTCCATTAACCTGCGCATGCAGCGGGAAGTGTGAAGTGCGCCCACAAGCGAACCGGCAGTCACGCCAGCTAGAACTCACCCCTGCTTCAAAGCCGTTGAATTTCAACCCCAGCTCATTATCCTCACCACACCATGTGGTGCAGCATAGGAAGGACAGTAGCATAGCATTGTATATTCTTCCAGTTGCAAAGTAAGAGCAGGCTGAAGTGAGAGGGGAGGGCAGCAACATTTAAAGCAGCAGAAATCCCTCCTGGTTCTGGGGCACTGGTAACTAGGTACACAAGCTCCTTCTGAGATGCAGAAAGCCATTGAAGCTGCAATGAAATTCATTTTAGTTTAGCAACACCCAAGATACCCATGCTTACCAAAAGGCTTGTGTCTCACAAAAAGCCATTTGTGGAAATGAAATTGTGCAACAATTGCATTTTGAGTTACCCTAACCCAGAAATCTTAAACTGAATTGGTCACATTTAAGGCTTAAAGAAGTGTCACAACTATCCCCAGCTGCTTTCATTCTGGAAACCAACATCCCACAGGGGCAATTCTGAAGGTCAGGCTTTAGCTACACAATCCTGCAGCTCTCGGATCTGCCTAAATTCCATTTGCACAACCTAAATTTCTTCAAATGGCTTTTCTGTGATGCAAGGCTGGTGTCCATCAGAGCCCTGTGTCTGAAAAAAAACTTTAATCAAATTAAGAGTGTTACATTATTCTCAAATTCATTTGAATAATTTCTTAGACATCTTATGCAGTGTCAGACCAGAGCTATACTTTGCCACAGCAGAAATTGCACTTAAAAGAGCCAGGAGAACAAACAATGTTTTTCTAACTTTTATTACATGTCAATCAAAGCAGAGAACAAACACACAACTCAAGCTGTTGGCCAGCCAAACAGAAAAGATTTGGGAAATTTAGAACAGGGGTTCCCAATGGGGGTGCGAGATGATATTCCAGGGAGTGCAAAAACCTGGGTTTAGAAGTTTCAAAATTATATGTCAGGGTTCCAAATAGCATCCAAAAGTAAATCAGAGTCCAAAGCAAAGTATTGCTCAAAGTTCCAATTTATTAAGAGAGCCATGTTGCCACATCTGGGAAAGCCCCAATCTGAAAGCTTCCTGGTTTTCCCCACCCAGTTGAAAGTTCAAGATCTTTCCCCTACACCCACAAGTCCATCACATGGTCCAATCTCCCACTGCCCTGCTGGCAATTCCAGTTCCAGTCAGGTGCAGAGACAAAGGATGACCTTTCTAGAAAGAATTTTGTTATGATTACATATCATCTAACTCCCTACCATCCCCCCTACCATTTTCCCACAATAGAAAATGCATAGCAGAATAATAGAAATTGTGACAGGCCAAAGACCCAAAATAAAAAATAGCTGCAGGCCTGACATCATAATATATAGGCATCATTATATGCATCTGATTATTTTGTTTTGCAAGGGTTAGAGAATATATCAGAAGCCTTCTAGGGGTGCGGGATATAGAAAAGGTTGGGATATAGAAAAGGTTGATATAGAAGGAGAAGCTTTCTTTTTTAAGGGAGAAGTGTTGTGGCCCGCCAGCAGACAGCAGAGCTGGCAGCAGATTCAGACAGTGGGGAGGTTGGGGAGGAACATGGGCCGAGTCCTGGAGTCTGGGGAAGGTTCTGATGAGGGCTCTGTGTCAAAGGCAGAGGGGGGGGCGGGGTCATATGCCAGTTCTCAGCTGCCTTCAGAGTCAAACATCAGTGAGGCAGACGAACAACTGGAGCCTGTTCCCAGTGTGCGCATGTGCAGAGTTGCTGCGCATGAAGGAAACAGCTAAAAACAGGGGTCAACTTGGGAGTAAGGCCACTGGTGGACGATGAATAGCCCCTCCCAGAGGAAATAATAGAGGAGGGAAAGGGGAGGGAAGTTTGCAGGAGACAATTAGTTCGCTTAATTGGTTTGTGACTCTCCGAGGCTCCTTGCCAAGTTTTGCAGATATCAGTCTGGCAGCTCTCCAAGCTAGATAAGGCCTATGACTGTAAATCTTCCCTTGAAAGGCTTTGCTGGATGTGAATGAGCAGAATTCACAGTCAATTAATAAAAGGTTTTTTTTTTGTGGGGATCAGGAGTTTGCTTCATGCTCTCGGGAAGCCTGGGTCAGAACAAGAAGTGCTGTAGATCTCACTTTTGCCATTACCATTTTTCATCATTGTATTTTCCTGCCATCATTTCTTCACCAAGAACATCTGGCTACTTGTGCTCATTCTTCTTATGTATTCAATTTTGAGGGAAATTTTGTGAGTCTTTTCAAGCCCTCCCTTCTCCAAGTAACCTTGTAATGATGAAACAATATCAGCTGTTTGCTGTGACTTCTCTTAGCATCCCCCAGGGAAAACAGGGTTGTTCCTAGGAATCCTGGTGGCCTCCCCTTGCCTGGTCATTCTATCCTGACCCCTGCTCTGCCCTCATTGTCCTTATGAGAGCCAGATATTTGCTGACTGAAGCTACTCTTGGTCTACTAGAGTGAGGCAGAGGTTGCCTCAGATCCCAGCCATTGTGAAATCATATCACATAAGCAACCAGAGTATCGGGATCTTGATATTTCCAAATGGTTGGCCAATTTTCCACATGACTGGAAACTATGAAGTAGCTTACAGCCTGTGGGGCGGTTATCTGCTCATTTCCCTGCAAGGTGTACCTCTACTCTTGTTGGTTTAAGACAGGGGTGTCAAACTCAAGGCCCGGGGGCCAGATCCAACCCGAGGAGTACTTAGATATGTCCTGTGGGGACACCCTGGAAACAGCAAAGGACCAGCTTGCAGTGCCTCTGCCATTGAAAATAGAGCTCAGGAGGGCTGCGTGTGGCCCTCCTGAGCTCCGTCTTCACTGGCAGTGGGTTTCAGGATGCCATTGTAGCTAAAAATGGAACTCATGAATTGGCCCACATGGTGCTTAGATCTGGCCCGCGGGATTGCCCTGGAAACCGTGAAAGACCAGCCTACAGTGCCTCTGCCAGAGAAAATGGAGCTCAGAAGAACCTCGGGTCACCCTCCCAAGCTCCATTTCTGTTGGCAGAATGTTGCAGGAGGCCGTCGCAGCTGAAATCGTAGCTCAGAAGCCCGTTTTCACTGGCAAAGCATTCGGGCCACCACAGGCACCACCGACACAAGTGATTTCGAGCTGTCCATGCCCCCCTCTTCAAGGTCAAACACAACCCTGATGTGGCCCTCAATGAAATCAAGTTTGACACCCCTGGTTTAAGGCGTAGAAGACAAGTGTTGGTCCAGATTCTATTTTCAGAGGGGGGAACCCTCCATATTGCTCTTCAGGTACAACATGTATGTAAATGTGTAATCTAATACTTTTCCCAGACTCATAGGATTTAGTTTCTAGTTCCCTATTCATAATCATTCCTCTTCATTGTACCTCTTCTATTTTATGTTGGTCTTAAAATGTAGTGTCCAGAACTTGGGATATTCAAAGTGGGGCTGGCCAAATGCAGTGCAGAAAAGCTATAGAATTGAACCACAGGGCACCCTATTCTCTCTCTCCAGTTTGAGAAGGTACTGAGGAGTTCTTGGAGTGCAATTTTTGAGCCAACTATGAATCCACTTAATTATTATGCCATCTAACCCACACTTAACTAATTTGCCAAGCTGTTCAGAATGTCCTTCTGAAAGTTTAGCATGGTAAAGGAGAGGCCTACTCAGCATTCCAAAAGCTTTTAATTCCACCCTACCATTAATACTTATTGAGATCAACAGCACAAAGTTATGTAAGCTCCAGTGACGTGCGGTGAGGTTGATACCTGGTGAGGCTCAGCAGGGCAGCGGTCGGCCTCGGCGGGGGGGGGGGGAATTTGCATCGCGGGAGCAACCAAGCGCCCGGGTCTGCAGCAAAGGCGCTTGGTGGCTTCCGCGATGCAAAGTGCCCCGCTGCCCCCCCCCCCGCTGTCCCGGCTT